CGAAAATGGCATGAAATCTCAAGTTTTGGCAATTTTTCAAATTGTAATCATGGCTTTAAACATGACCTTATTGCTATGATTTCTTTCCTTGTAACTTTGTTCCCTCCATATCCTCTTTAAATACCATCCATGTGCCAGCATTACTCACGCATAAGTCACAGAAGCAAGCCGTATATTTCACAGAAAATCCAAAAGTTGTCAAAACTCACAACATATGATCCAGTTGCTCTCAGGCCAAACCAATCCTCCTATTGTCTTCCTGAAGGTTCCAGAGAGCCACACACACTCCTAGATTACTCTCAAACGCCAGAGAACACCCCACGTAGAATTGTCGGTTGGCAAGTTTTGGTAAGAATCAGATCTTTCATTCTACACAATTTCAATGGATACTAACCTCTGAAATTAATTCATATACATCATTTAAGCATGATCAACGTGTTACATGCAAGATTTTATGCAGGAATTAGATTGCACCATTGTTAGGGCATAAAGAGCTATGTGCTTCATATCTTTGAGGACAGACACATTCGAGCCAAACGGCCACCACCGTTGAATTCGCAGACCCCAATTTAGGGGGGGGGGGGGGGGGGATAGCCTAAAGCTTTTGCCACGAATCTCTTTTTTTTTTAGGTTCACGTTTTGTTTGGTCGGAGAGGATGGTCGGAGAGGATGGCCGGAGTTTGACTTTGGTATCCCTGAAATAAGCTGACTCCGACAAGGGGCATGCGTGGCACTTTGTTATATCATGATTGGTCCATTCAAATCTGATTGGGCGCACGTTTGAGAAAATGAAAATAATAATTGATTTCATATATAATACTATCATTACCTTGTACTAATGAATGAACAGACTTGGCCTAGTGGTAAAACGTGCATGTATGAAGCTTATAAACCTAGGTTCGATCCCTAGGTTTTGCACTTTTCTCATATTTTCCTTTCAGATCCAGTGTTGAACAGATTCACGTGCACTTCAGAGCTCTCCACATCTGGACAATCAAAAACATCACAGCCAGATCCAAGCTTCTCAAATACGCACCCGCACCATAGACATTCAAAGGATCCTCTCACTGGATCCATACAGAACCTTGGGCCTGCATTTTTATAATCTCGCACCTCCTATTACAATTTTGCATACTCAGGTTCATTTGAATTATGTTTTATATTTATTTTTTTTAATTTGTTTGTTTTATTTAATCAGCAAGTTTTTTTAAAATCAAATTAAAAAATTAAAAAAACTTAGGATTAGTTTTTTTAATTAAATAATTAATTTATGAAATTAATTAATTAATTAACTTTAACATTTTTTTTCAAAATTAAAATAAGTTAGTAGTTAGGGTTTAATTTATGTTTCAATATTTTCTTAATAAAAATATTTAAAAAAAATAGTAGAATTAGTTTTTTCTTCTATTAGAGTTAATTTTAATTAATAATCATTTTTCCTTTATTTAATTAATTAGGATTATATTTAGTTTTTTCTCCTTTAATTTAATTTAAGCATTTTCTTAAAATAAACAAAAACCAAAAAAGATTTTATTTTACTTAGCAAATTTTTAGGGTTTTAGACGTTATTTTAAATTCGCGGCGTTATTATTTTCGCGCTCTTTTTATATACCAATGTATCTGCTGATGGTATGTAATAGCTTAAACTAGGGCATTTACTTTATCGCTTTCTTTATTTTTCCCCCATTTTTGGACATGTAAATATCCCCCTCCCCAAAGCCTTGTAATAGCGTAGGATTTACGACTCCCGCTCTTTAAATTTATGCAAAATATTAACTGTTTGTAACTAGGCTTGTATGGAAAGACTGCAAATAAAGTGCTAGCAAACTTAATAACAAAGGTAAATGAACTGAATTGAATCAGTTGCACATATACACCTCTAGGGTACGCCCACTTTGCTTGCCTTTCGGAAAATAAAACAGTCATGTCCCTCGAGAATGGGGACGCTTTAGTAAAGACTCATAAATCAAAAGATCATAGTCCCTCGATGACCCTACAGTGTTACCTTTCGGTAAATGATCTCGTCCCTTAAACAAAATTGCTAAAGCGTCTCCATATGTTGCCTTTATGATTGTACGTCCCTTCGAATGTCCCTCAAACATCCAACAATAGGGCTACCTACTCACTAATAGTAGGATAGCATTGTCTAAAGGATTGAAGGAAAAGAACGAACGTTTTCGAGTATAAGTAGATAGTTCTTAGACGCTTGCTCAAAATAAACTTTTTGCACCTACACAAAAACATTTCAAAAACACTTTCAAAAACATTCGCTTTGTCAACACTCTTAAGGACTGATACAAGAGTTATCATAAAGTGAATCGCCGCACTAAGGCATTTTCAAACTACTTTTCTCAAAGCACAAAGCACAAGGTATTTTTCAAATGAGCTAGCATCTAAGAGCCCGTAGGAAACTACATATGGAAAGGGTTCTAACACCTTCCCTTTCCATAATCTACCCCCCTTTACTCAGAAAATTCTCGAAAAGGTATTTTCTATTCTTTTCACCCTTTCCTTAATTTGGATAAAAGAAAAGTCGGTGGCGACTCTTGCTTACCGGAATATTTGCGAACACAAACGCAAAACCAGTATAAACAGTCGATTATGCCACTGTATCATAATAGGTAAGGAGGCCTTTCGTCTCCTAGGTTACGCGGTGAATTATCCACCACATTTGGTAATATAGTCAACGATACTATTTGGCTGATGACAATGGGGTTTTCTTCAACAAAAGTTGGAATCCCTTAACTGCTAACACTCATCGTTACCAGTTGATCTCTAAGGTTTGGAGCATTACCTTGGGAAGGGGATTGATTTCTACAAGACATTTCAGGGATTTTCTTACCACTACTCAAAAACATAAACCCTCAAAACTCATAAGTTTTATGTATAGAGAAAAATCGTTCGAAAAGAAACGTAAGACACCTTTTTCAGCAAAAATGTTTAGAGATATTCACGCAAAGGGTCCCACTAGGCGTGTCAATTTGTTTACCGATGTTTTTCGTAACCAATCACGAGTTTAATAAAGCTAGTGATATTAACTCGAAAAATCTCCAAAGCAATTCGTGCAAATAATTTGTATGAAAACACGTGTGTGTGATTTGAATGCGGCTATTTGTATGAAAACGATGCAAAGACAGAGTTTAAATGAAGACAAGTTTTGATAAATGACAAGGAGATAAAGTGCAGTAAAAGACATTAAATAAGGGTGAAAATTAAAGACAAAAAATAAAATGTTTCATGTAAGGAAACAAGAAAACAATGAAAAGACTAGACGCAGACACATACATATTTCTCGCGGGCTGTTTCGCTCTTTGACTCGGGTACTCCAGTTGTATGGAGAGAATGTATGAAATTTTAAAACCTTTTCTACAATGTATGAGTCTGTTATTTATTCTATTTACAAATAATCGTTGATGACAGTTCTAAACACTAGGAGACTGATGAGTTTCATCCTATGTTGAACCTTCAGGCTCCGACTAGTGCATCCACGTGTCACCCACAATCTACTGCTTGCCTATAACCCATGTTGAGATACTTACTTCAACTTCCTCACGAACTCTTGATGGTAACTTCCAAACATGTCGTCGATATCATCTCTATTTGAGACTTAGATTTTGGAGAATTGTTAAGTCTTGAAACTCTTTGTGGTTGTCGACTATCATCCCTGTCGACACACAATTCTTGTCGACTGTCTTTCTCAAGATTTTGGACATGTTTCCAGTTATCCTAATCTTGTGGATCCGTTCTTATGATTCTTCCAACCCATAATTGTCTTGTCAGTTGGTTCCCTAATCGATATTCCATCGACGTTGGATAATTAAATCTCCAAGACACTTGATTCCTCTAAACACATGGTTTAATGTTCCTAAACACTTCATTGATGTCTCATAACCCTAAATTTCCCTTCATCGTGACATTCTTCGTTGGCTTTCCTTTAGCTGAAAATCCTAGTGTAACAACATGTCAGAAGAATGCTATGAAATATTTTAATGATGAGAATGCATTCAATGCGCTTGTTGCCCACTACTTTTTAACTAATTACGGGCATTTCAGTTCCATTTCACATTAGACAACGTCCTAGAGGCTGACTAACATCTTAAGGTTTCCCCGGGCTCCTCCAGTGCCCAACAAAGTCTTGGGGAGAACTGTTCTGGGCCGGTTAAGACTCAAATGTTAAAGGCCCAATTCATCTCAATTCACTCCACTTGATCCAAAATATAAAATCAATTCACACGAAAAGAATAAGGTACATTGTTTGATCTCCACTTTTCACTACTCTCATATTGAATCTTGAACTGACTTGGATATTAGAGTGATAATCATGCAGATTCATCCCGCATTGTCGTAAAAGAGATCAACACCACCATTCAAGATCTATCTGCGTCAACTTTTTATTCCTAAACAGAATATTATTTTGATCTTTTATATAATATATATCATTTCTTTATATGAGTATCGAATTATTAATTATTCATAATTAAAAAATAAATAAAACTAGTTAATTAGTAGTCCCAATATTTTTTTTATAAAAGTTATTTAAACTTGTTTTTGGTTTTTTTTTTTAGTTTTTCTTTTTTAGTAATAATATTTTTTTTTCATGATCATTTTTTTTGTCAATTTAGACTAAAGTAAAAGTTGAAACTAACACCGACTTGAATTGAAAATTCGCCTTACATCCCATAGTCTTTCATCAATGTGCACCTAATCTTTGACGTTTTATTTTATACCACCTAATCTTGTCTGCACTCTCATCTTATTCACAATTTCATAGTAACAGTTTTCAACACTGTCCAAAACATCATTAATCAACACAAATCAATACTAATATCACAATATAATAATAATATATTCATATTTACACCCCTTAATAATTTATCACTAGTATATTCTAGTCCATATAACCTGGAAAAAGACTTGTGGCTACACTAGAAACACAACATAACATTCTTCCTAAATAAACCAGAATCACAACCTTTGCAGCAGAAAAAAAAAGTCAAGAAATGAAGATGGCAAAATATATGTGCAACAGTGAAGGAAACTTAGACGACAAAAGTTTCAGCAAACCTATGCCATGGATAGGAATCTACATAGCATCAGCATCACTTCTGTGTCTCATTTCCTTCTCATTAGATCTCATCAAAGGTTTCAAAGCCCGCAAACTATGGTTCCCTTGCAAATACTTTTGCCTCAACGCTACTTCCTTAACCATAATTGCTATTTCTGTTAAGCTCTCTGTTGATCTCAACACCCCTATGCCTCAACGTCATGATCAGCTAGCAAAACTAGCCAGCAGTGCTATAATCTGCACTGTCATGGCTAACTCCATGCCTTCTCTTGGTGTCACACAGACTAATGAAACCATGATGAATGTTATGGCCATGGCTATTTTAGTTATTACCATGATTGTTAATATTTGTATCCAGTTTGCAACTGGTGTTATCTATGAGTTTTGGATTGAACATGGTGTGATTATGTTTCTCATGCTTATTTTGTTGATGATTATGAGTTCTTCTACTTTGTCTTTACAAAAGATGAAACATTACATGGAGTTGAAGTATAAGGTCAATGAAGAAGCTTTGAGAGAAGAGTCAAAGCAAAAACAAGGGTTTGGTAATGTGACTGATAAACTAAGAGATGAATTGATGAGATATTGGATGATGGCTCATACAAGTAGTCCTCAGTTTCTACTTGGAAGATCGGTATCGTGTACTGCTTCAGGTGCTTTTTGTGTTTTGAGTACTTTGACTTTGTTCGAAGGGATGCTTCGAACTTATTTGATGCCTTGGTCGGTTACGTTTTGTAGTGGTGATTCTGATTACAAATGGTCTATAATCTTGATTCTTATAGTTCAATATGCTGCTGTTGCTGTTGGTACTATTGCTCCTGCTTTTAGATGGTTTTTTGCTGTTAAATATAGGTGTCCAAATGTGAGGAAAAGGAGCTGCAAGAAAATTTTTCAGGTAGAAAGTTATTGGACTGATAGGTTAGTGGTGATTAAAGAGAGTCCGATTAGTTTTCGGATTCGTAACCGGTGGTTTAGGAAGTTGGCTCATGATGTGAAATATATGATATTGTGTTTCTGTATTAAACTACAGATTGGAATTGTGAGGTTGTGCATAGCTGCACAGTATGTTTCAGTTTATCCAATGTGTTGGGTTTTGGGATTTTGTGAGTATTTCAAGAACTGGAAATTCGGTTCGAGTCTAGGGACAGGCACGAAGCATGATCTGCGTCGTTTTATTCTTCATCTCGAAGGCGAGGAAGAGTTGGTTGAGGTGATGATGAAAGAAAATTGGGATGCAACAATGCATTGGGTTCAACAAGGTGAGAAAAAGCAGCCAAAGCTTGTGATTGAGTTGTTAGAGAAAAAATGTTCAATCTTGCAAGGCTTTAAGGGAGTTGGAGAATTCGATTGCGACGAAATTGTTCCTTTACATGGTGAAGAACCTCCATATAGTTGGTCACTTCCACTAGTGACACTAGCAAGCATTATAGTTGCAATGCCAAACATTGACAAGTGTTTGGTGAAAAACTTGATTAGTACTCTAAATGAAGGACTACCCTATGTGAAGTTCATAGAAAACAACATAGACCAAGATAGAAAAATAATCAAACTTCGAAAAGCAGCCGAAATCATTTGGCTTGGAACCGATCTTTATGGAAAGTGGCTAGATGTTGATCTTTACAAACTCTCACTTCAAAGCAATAATCCAAAACAAACACTTGAGACACTAGCTGATTTAGCAAAAGCAAGATATGAGAAATACAAAGCAAAATACAATCACATATGCATTAAGGTGAGTCCTTGGGCTTGGCCTTTGAAAGTGTTGGCTTCTAATGCAATGTATAGAATAAGCAAAACAATGCTTCTGATGAATCATGATGTTGTGAAAGATTGTAATAGTAATAGTGAGAAGGTGTTTGAGGTTGTGATAGTGATGGTTTCTGATATATTGGGAGCATGTTTAACTAACTTGCCTCATGTTATATCTAGAGTGTGTTTGAGTAGTGGAATTGAAGAGAGGGAGGATAATGTTAGAGAAGCTGTTTATGTGCTTGGTAAAACTAAGAAGATTATAGAAATGCTTGAAAAGAGAGCTTTTCCTAGTGTGGATTTTTGCTGCGGGACTAATGTTGAAGATTGGCGTTTGATGCATAAGGAAAACAGGTTCTGTTGTCCCTCTGAGCTATCTTCACTGGAGGAAGATGATTCCTACACAGCTCCTTCCAAGTTAAGGGATCTTTGCTTAAATATTGACTAAAAGATAGAGGTATTGGTTATTTTCTAATTTTGTACACAGATTGTTGAAAAACCTTTCTGTCTTTGCTTGATGTATGTAAGTACATAAGAAGTTTATAGAGTAGAGGCAAGATCTACAGTTCTACATCAATATGTTTACCTGCAATAACAACTTGGGAGTAACAGAAAGATTACAAGAAAAAAAACATTGTAAATCAATAGGTGTTGCTGGAACACCATTTACAATGTGGTGAACGCAACTTATATGAAACTTTTTTAGATGTGACACAAATTCTAGAACATATTTTTTGATATTCTCTGCATGTAACTGTAGAAACTAATTTCTCAAGTCGAAGAGGATTATAATAAGCGATAAAACTTTTTATCAAGAGATTTAACACTGTTGCGTGCACAGTAATAGATTTAGACCAAAGACTTAATTATTAAGTTGGAAGAGATCATTATCCTCTCATCTAAGTGTTTTTCGATAATTTCTATACCAGTATAGTTTTGATGTTTTCAAATGTGGAGCAAAATTAATTTTGCTTCCATAGTTTTTGTCTTTATAATTAATTTTTAACTTTAACTAGTTGAATAGTTAAATACCCGTGCATGATGCACTGGTAAAATAACTTTATTCCGTATAATTGTATTTAAATAATTGATGAGATCAATATTTATACCTGTGTTATTTTCTGAATGTTACTTATTGCATTCTGTATTAATTTATGAAGTACTCTCGTTACATTTTTAACATTAGAGATAGATGCAAATGAATAGAAAAGCAATTAATATTAAAATTAAATATAGTATTTTTTTACTTTATTTTTTACATAATACTAGTCGATAACCCGTGCTGTCGCACGGGGTCGGTCGAGAATTCATAAAACGTGGAACTAATGTTGTCATGTAACAGTAAAATCGTTTTTATGAAATTCAATAAAAGTTCATCTAATTCGGCCAAATTTAGTGTATCAAACTTATTTGACAACATTAAAAAATGTAAACTGAAATCATGATTGTGTAACAATATAAGAAACTGTGATGACTCTTCAAAATAAGAAACTATCATGAGTCTTCAGATACAACGCAACCAACTTGGAAACGATGTTTTCAACTTTATCACCTGCACAATATATGATGCAAAAATTAGACAGCATTTACGAAAACAATTTATATTAAAGAAATTATTTGTTATTATGTACTTACCGATCAACAAAGAGATTGGAAAACTTCTTTGTATACAACATTTGTAGTGATAGATGTTGATACATTCATACTATCATGTATTAAGATCTTTAGACCACTTTTGCTTGTAACTCTTGAAATGGCTACATACAACTGGCCATGACTGAATACAGGAGTAGGCAAATACAATCCAACTGTATCAAGTGATTGGCCTTGAGACTTATTAATTGTCATTGCGTACGACACAATAATTGGGAACTGTCTCCTAATCAACTTAAATGGCCACGGTGACTCGGAAGGTGACATAGACATTCGAGGGATGAAAAAGATGTTACCAACATTCTTACCAGACATGATCTTTGCCTCAATAACGTGATTTGCCAACCATGTAACAATTAGTCTTGTTCCGTTACACAAACCATCGTTTTGGTCCAAATTCCTCATAAGCATTATTGGTGTACCAACCTTTAATCTGAGTTTGTGATTTGGGACACCTGAAGTCCTAAGCTTGCTAAGAAATTCTGGAGTAAGACATTCATAGGCTTCGGTGTAACTTGAATCAGTTCTATCAATCGAATCAAAACTCAAATACTCTTTGTCCTCACCTAAGAAATGGGAAAACGCGAATCAATCCATAATGTTTTTTCAAGATTTATTTAATAACGAAACATCTACACGAAAAGAAACATCAAAAGAAAAAAGAGTTTACCCGGTATCATGTCTAACACGTAATGATTAATTTTATCAACAACTTCAATGGTTGAAGCAAGTATTGCTTTTCCTTGTAGAAATTCTACATTTTGAAAGTAGGCAAGCAAATTTGGGTATGTGCTTTCAACTATAGCTCTTATTGGATCCTCAAAATTGGAAATTAACAAATCAGGAGGAATTTCTATATCAGCTAATCCATCGTTAGGTTCACATATTTTACCGTCGCCAACATTTAATATCCATTTAGAGAATTCTGCAAGTTCATCAGAAGTTGTAACGTCCCTCCCATTCTGTAGTCTCATGTTTTTGGTTAGTGTTAAGACTTGGCAATAGTCCCACACATAAGAAGAACAAATGGAAGCATGAACAATATCAGAACGGCCTGCTCTTGGAACAACTGGAAGTATCTGTCGAAAATCTCCTCCAAATATAACTACCTTGCCACCAAAAATTGTATTTGCAAAACCCTTATCGCTCATGACATCCTTAAGGGTAGATGTACAAAAATTTAATGTCACATGAATACCATATGTTGGCCAGACTTTAAACAATTATTAGAACACCAAATATTATAATATGACATTAAATATTGTTATGTTGGAAACACAAAATTGCCATTGGAAACCAAAGGTTATTCCTATTGTATTCTATACCATATTCATTATTTTTTTTTTGTAACATGTAACCATGGTTTGATGTAAATGGGAAAAATTAAAAGTACTTCCAAAAATATACATTTTCCAAGGGATATAAAATGGAATGATCAGAAACTGTTTGTATTCTACATGTCATGTATAGTGCCTTTTGAAACCAATGCTTGCTTGCTTGGCCAACAAAAGATATTTTCTAACGTCTGTTTTACTCCATCTCCCTGTCTCTTCGGTTTTCCATTACAAACAACATTCCAAGAAGACGGTACACCGTAAAAACAGAGTTTAGCTCCAGACAATCTTAGAAGTGTGCTGCAAGTTTTAAACAATTATTAAAAAAAATCCAATGCACATGATACTGGTTTTTGATACGTTTTACACTTAACTTCCACCAGTGGAGGTTACCTTATAAATCTGCTAAAAATATTTTTTGTCAGTTTTTGCACTGATCTTCCACCAGTGGAAGTTACCTTTAAATTTGTCTTACACCTAGATTACACTATACTTCCACCAGTGGAAGTTGTATTGAAAAATTGGTTTTTTGGTTTTTGACACGTTTTACACTTAACTTCCACCAGTGGAGGTTACCTTAAAAATCAGCTAAAAATATTTTTTGTCAGTTTTTGCACTAATCTTCCACCAGTGGAAGTTACCTTTAAATTTGTCTTACACCTAGATTACACTATACTTCCACCAGTGGAAGTTGTATTGAAAAATTGGTTTTCTGGTTTTTGACACGTTTTACACTTAACTTCCACCAGTGGAGGTTACCTTAAAAATCAGCTAAAAATATTTTTTGTCAGTTTTTGCACTGATCTTCCACCAGTGGAAGTTACCTTTAAATTTGTCTTACACCTAGATTACACTATACTTCCACCAGTGGAAGTTGTATTGAAAAATTGGTTTTCTGGTTTTTGACACGTTTTACACTTAACTTCCACCAGTGGAGGTTACCTTAAAAATCTGCTAAAACCTGGTTTTATCAGTTTTTACACTTAACTTCCACCAGTGGAGGTTACCTTAATGCACATGATACTGTTTTTAACAACAGTAAAACATTAGTACAGCAGTACCTCTACCTCTTCACATTTAAACATCTCCTTTATTTTGGTACGTAGCACTTCATCTGCCTTAAATCCGATTACAGAAAGACTGGCCTTGTTTGGTTGAAACACTGCTCTTATAGCCAACTCCTTCTTCAGCATCACATCAAGTTCATAAGGGAATTCAAGGGGATCAAAATCTCCAGTCTAAATGATTAAAACAATATATGTTAGTTACGTGAAACTTATCTATCTTACATATTAGACAAATGGAAAATACCTCCATCAAATCCAACTTCATCTGAAGGGCGGACTTCCCAATCAACTTTACACAATCTACATCCCAAAATACGAACTTGTATTTTAACTTTCCATCGGAGGCAAGCACTTCAAGCTTAAACCTGTACCATGAAAGGTAAAAATAAGAAATTGTCAGTAATGAAGCGCTTGGTTATATGATGATAATCATTGATATGCAATACTTAGAAGTTACCTTGGGACTGGCTCAGAACTGATGTGTTTGGAATAACACATGAATTTTCCATCCTTCAAAGTCACACTTTTGGTACATTCACTACATCCATCATAATACCATCCTGACTACCCACATTCAAACTTCTCCAGAGTTGCAACAGTCACACATGTAGTTTCCTGAAACAGAAAGATGGGATTATGTCTCAAAAAATGGATTAGAACCCAATCTGTGTAATTCCTCAATCTAAGACAGTCATGTATTAAAGAGCAACGTATTGTCTGCAGATATGCAATATCAGACAGACTCAACACTTCAGCTTTCCATACAAATTTGTCCAAATCAGAAAAAACAAAGGTATTTGTGGTTTCCATTTTCATGCTTGAGGATGAGAGCGTCGGCAGATCATCTTTAAGTCTGATGATCATAGATCAGAATGAAAACAGGCTGTTAGAAATCATAGGTTGCTAATTCATAACTTCAGAATAAAATCACTTACTTCTCTTTAAGGTTTTTAACCTCCTCAATAGACAAATCATTGATGAGCAGTTTTGTGCCGTTCCAAGCATTTGATACATTTAAAGGATAATTTCCTGAAAATTGAGATATTTATAAATGACAACACTTAAAGTTGGATATAATAATTGGATGTAATAAGAAATAGTCACATAGCAAACCTTGAGGTTCCTTGATCCTTGCATTCATAAGTAGGAGAACAATACTACCATCAGCCTTATGAGTCGTATAATACTCATTCAGTTGCACAACTAATTTACCCCAAAGAGTACATTGCACATGATGTTTGCTGATTCACAGGAATTTCAAAACAAACAACATGAACATGTTAAACTTTTATATTTGTCAGCATCAATGTTAACAAACAAAATGAAACACCTACCTCAGATCAGTTAATGAAAACACAACCTTGCTTTTGTTGTTATCAGGAATTATCTGGGCT